GACTATAGCAATTTCTAGCATGGGATACCTTAAAGATAAAGTATATACGGTGTTGTGTCGTGATCAATCGGCATCTTGATTTTTTTTAATTTTTTATTTATAATTAATAAGTTAAAATGCTTAGAGTATATTGTGCCACCTGACACATCGGAAAATCATTATTTTAGAGAAGATAAAGAAGTCTTTTTTTATTGCCAAAAATTTAGTGATAATCAGTATTATCATTATAATCCTGCGAGCTACAACTCAGTTAAAAATTCACAGATTCTTTGCGATAAGAAGACAATAGCACTAGCTTTTTCTGATACAATAAAATACATAGATAAGCAAGGGTCAGAAAAAACAAATGATATACAATTCAAACTTAAGAAGTTTGAACTTAATGAAAATGGCTATATAGCAACATTTGAGAATGGCAGTAAGATTATGACTGTTACAGGTAAAACTGCTTACATAGTTACTCCGGACTTCATGAACTCTGAGATAGAGAGAGAAAAGGATACAAGAGTTGGTGTAGATAGTGGCATTCTTGGATATGGAGATGGTAATCAAGCAGTAAGATTTAATGTTATGGTGGTGCTTGGTGCAGCAAATGATATAGATGACTTGTTTAAAGCTAAAGGTAGTAAGAATCCAATAGTTTCCGTGATATTAAGTGCTGCAAAAAAATGTGTAGCTTCTGCTGGACATCCAATAGGGAGTAAACAAAAGGACTACGCACAGTTTGTTGTAAGTAAAAATACTCTTCAAATAGTGTTGAGAAAAAAAAGTGCTTTTATAGGAGCAATTCATAATGCTGTGATAGAAGTATTAGGGAAATTCTGTGGAGAAGAAGTAATTGGAGAAAAAATCTGGAAACTTAACTTAACACAAAAAGACATTTTGATAAGTGGAGCAGCTTTAAATAAAGCTCAAGATGTTACTATAAATACAGCTAGAACTGAAGTATTGGCAGGAGATAATGTTAACCCGTTAGAAGCACAAGCTGAACAGACAGAAAGTGAGAAAGTAAGGCGTCGGGAGTATTTAAAAGAGAAATTCAAGCATGCTATTGATGCATTTGGTAAAGCCGGTACGAGATCCAATCATCCAAAAGCACCTGANAAGCCAGTGTTTGGTATTATAAGTAAAATTTTGCATTGGGTGGAGAATAAATTTAAGTATTTTTTTCCACGCTATAATTTATTTCCAGAAGTTGGCAATAAGGATAGAAAAATTCCTGGGACTAACAGTGAAGTGAAGTACTTTACTTCAGATGAGCAGGCTGAACATGCCATGTATTGTGGAGAAGAAGATGGTGAAATAAGGCTATATAATGCAAAAGGTGAGTTATACGATACAACTGATAAGGTAAGTAAAGGAAGAAAAGGGTATGTAGCTTATGTAATTACACTCGATGGAAGGTTAATCACTCATGAACATGTGAACGTTGGCAAAAGTAAATACGCTTATCGTCATTCAACACTTGCAGGTGGCGAACCAGTTCTATGTTCTGGTTTGATGATCGTGAAAAATGGCAAAATAGAATATATAGACAACAACAGTGGACATTATAAGCCAAGAAGTGCAAATATATACAACGCAATAATAAGGTTTAAAGCTGCATTCTCACAAAATGCAAAAGTTGTTCATTTTGGAGGTTGGTTCGGTTTTATCAAAGAAATTCCAATTTTATGTAGAATTGTGCCAGGTAAAAAAGAATCAATAGATGGGTTCCAGCAGAGAATGGAAAACAAAGGAAAGAGTGGATTAACTAAAGTTGAAGAATGCTTTAAAAAAATAAGAGAATACAACAAACAGTATGAACAGAAATTGTTTCTTGGAAGTTATAAATCACCTACAAGTGAACCTCCTAACAACCCAGCTATACATAAAAAACATAAAGTAAAACTTTCATCATATGTTAAGCATTGCAAGTTTTTGAGAGAGTTTGATGAAAGTTCCGAAGTAAGAAGAATGACGATAGAGCATTCAATAAGAAAAATAATAGGAGCTAATTTTGGTCGCAAGCCAAGAATTGAACTTGCTAAGAAAAGAGTGGATAAAAATGAGGAAGTAGGAGTAAATGTAATTTTTTATCATGAAGATGATCATAAGAAATTTGTCAAGCTTTTAGATTGTAAAGGATATCATTATACATCATTAATTATTCAGGAGAAAATTTTTGAAGTTTTTGGTAGGGTAAGAAAGGTAAAAGAATATATAGTATTTATGGATGAAATATCTGCTGATAAATTCGAAAAAAACACCTTAAAAATTGATAGATCTACAGGCACAATATTAAGTGATTTAGAGTTATTATGTGAAGAAAGTAACAGTAGGACTATTTGATGACTTCTTTTGTTTGTTCAACATAAGTGGATTCTGATATCATTACTCTATAGAAGAGGTACAAGTAAAATAGTTGA